CGAGCGCACTAAGCTCAGATGGAGGAAGAATTGTTGGGGAGCAACAATCTGGCTTATCTTCCCCGGCAATTCTCGTCCGATCCTTGAGCAGTAAGTCCGAGGCAGCAGCGACGTAGCTCCATGGCGAACAGCGCTATCAACGGTATGATATGACGCAAATTTTGCCCCGAAGGCCTCGTCGGATCCGAAACTCGCCTCCATCGTCACGCGAAAGCGATGTTCTAAGATGTTATAGTCGACTGTGAAGCAGTGATGCCTTCATCTGAGAAGACCAATATGCCATTGTTTAACTTAAAACCATCGATCTCCCCAAAGCGATAACGCGTGAAAACAGTGGGCGGAGAGGGGTCTTTTCCCTCGGCTTTTTTGCTAACTTTCAGGTGCCCTTCAGGCACACCATTTGACTTCTCTATTTTCACACTTCCACTCTTCCAGCTTATCCCAAAGCTGTCTTCGTACAAATTTGTCGTAATGACTTTTTTATACTTGAGGGCTATTGCAACCAGAGTCAACCGTCCTATCGCACTATTCGAACGAGGAGCATTTGAAATTTCGGAAAGGGGGGGGGTCGCATTCTCACAAGTTGGGGTTGAGAAAGGACTAGTAATTTGGTGGTTTTCCCTGTTCATAATACCAGTTTACCCCGCTCAACGGCCGTTATGGAGGAAGAAGTGGGCGGAGTTGGAGTGCGTTGACTGGTCTCAGAATACTATATAAAAACAGCTATGATGGGGAGGGTGGCAGTCGGAGAAGGGGAAGGTGGGTCGTATTGGGGGAGCCTTTTAGGACTGGTGGAGTAGTAGGAGGTCGCATCGAGACCCCGCTACAGGGGGATGGGAGTCACAGAATTCTTGAGAAAGTGCGAACGTGACGGTTCCCTTTGATTGCAACTGCCCTAGGACCGTAACATGTTGCGGCTTCTCATCTTCACAAAAATTTCATGGCCACCTTAGTGTCCTATTTTCAAAAACTGTTGCGAGATATTTACCACGGACAGGTCGAATGGCTTATGAGGTCGCCATAAGGAAAGGCCAATATTATACTGCAGAAGAGAAAACGCTTTTCTCCGGAATTCCCTACGACGTAGCCAGGATGAGATTGCAGAAGTACGAGGAACAGGGATGAACAGTACTCCTAATACCTACTTTCATTTCTCGCAATCCCAACACATTTGAGATTTTAGATTAGCTGAATTGTGAAGAGCGAAGAAGGAGTGAAATCGCTGTTGGGATGGCCTAATAGCGCTTGAAAAATCGTGGACTCGAAGTGGGCTCTCAAAAACTATAGTTCACCTTGAATTCCCCATAAACAAAAAGTTCCTGGCAACCGGTCCCACCGGTCGCCTTGGTCATTCAGCGGCTTCATTACCGACAAATCCACCTTCTACATCCCGAAACATTTCAAATTCCCAAACACCACGACAGCACAAGGAAACATTTATGATAGAAGGAAACGAGCTTCAGCGCCTTCGGAACTTGCGTTACGGAACATTACGACTTTCAGGGGGGACATACGCCCGGAAACTAGTTGGTCATTTGGGAGCACTCGCTAAGCGTTCCAACGGATCCCATCAAAAAACGCTGATGACTTTCAAAGCGTAGCCAAGTGCGGAAAAAGCCCTCATTGGTATTCAACGTAGCCAGACAACTTTTTTCTCGACGCCTGCAACGACGGCAGCAAATCGAATTCGTCTTACTATGTGCACTTCTTGTGGATATTTGAAGTGGACATACGGGCAGTGGCGACCAGAAGTGATTCCCAAAAAAAGTTGATCAGTGCAAACTTGTTTACATACATATTAGGTTTTGCAACCAGAATGTTACATGGATTTAATTTCGTCCCATTCGGCTGGGTTTGAATAAAGGCATGCCCCAGGATCACATTGGTGTGGCTCTTGTACACGAATGCGAATGTATTGGTGCGAAAGTGGGCCGGCAGTAAAGAAAAAAGGAAAAGAATCCGTCGAAAACGCTTAGGTTAAGGGCTCACTCACCTTCCTAATCGGCTGTGCTAAGGGAATGAGAGACTAAGCGCGGAGAGGAGAGTATGAGGCGAGAGAGCGCTACAGATGAGAGAGCGCCAGACAACCTGATAAGAGAAAAAAGTCTGCAGCTTGGGCAGCTTACTTTGCAAGGCCCAAGCGCTCTTATCGGTCGGTTTCCGTGCACGAGAACGCCACATTTGTGATTGTCCTCTAGGGTCTTTATTACAGACCGAAGAGAAGTGTTCACACGGCCTCTGCCTGGGTTGTGCCTTCAAGGAAGGTACTTGTGCTTCTCAAAAGAGGACACAGAGAGCATAGAAGTGATCAGTGTTTGGCCATACGGCTTCATGTTTTACTTTGAATTTTTCCTTCAAAACGTTGACAAAGCGGAATTCCCGGCTATAAGTGTGAATGTTCTACAACATCTTGAGGAGCAGAATTCAACTCCCACAAGTACGGCATGCTTTTGTGGACAGAACGAGACCTACATCAGACCGTGCTTATAGCTCGGCGATCGCTTACTCGGTCGTTGTTTTTCACCGTCAGAGTTTACCGGTTCTCCTAGAATGAACAGCAGCTACAGAAAAACTAGCGGTCAAAGCTGTTCGCCAAACGGTTTTTAATGCCCTAATTTCCGTAGAAACAACTCCCTGGAAAGGATTGATTTTACTTAATGGCCTTGGTGTTTTTATATCCACGAGCCTTGAAGAACCAGGATATTTAAGAGAAAAAATTCTCGAGAGCCACCACTGATTTTTTTTGGAAAAGAAAGAGAAGTTCGCAAAGCCGTTCCGGCTAGCACTTTTGACCGTTACAGTAATTTGGAAATTGATTGGAAAGTAAATTGAGCTTGTCCATAGGCATTACTTTGGTCTGCATTTTTAGTAAATTTTAAACGTGAATAGAGTGCTCAGAAAGGTGAAGCTCACTGAGATCGGTAATTACCATGTTATGCTGTATAGTATTACTCAGAGTAGGTAAGTGTAGACAATGTGGCAACTAAGGTAACCTGCAAAGCCTAATGGCGTGCAGAGCTTAGCAGTGGTAGGAAGCTCCAAAGTCCCTAAAGAGATCAAATCGCTTGAAATAACCAGCAGGCGAGCTGTCGGGGGTTTGGAGGTGTTGAAGGTACCACTGGATTCTGGATTGAAGTACGAGATTGTGACACTGATCGCAAACGGAAGGTGCCCAGCAGTCGGCAACTTGTTTTGTAGCAAATTGCTGATTTTCCACTGGAGCACGAGTCCTCAGCGGTTTCAAGTCAATAGTCGGCCCCTCTAAGAAGTATGCAAGATGGGTTGCTCACTTTTATGGATCACCAGGAGCTTGCAGCACTTGATGGTGAAAGTTCGCGATCTTCAAGGCAGCCTATTGAATTGAGGTAAAGGTGGTTGGTCAAAGATGCGCGAAAGACGAAAACCTAAGAAAAACTGCCGTAGAACCATGAGAAATGCGGAGACAAGGGCCCTCCCTGCCCGTTGACTTCCGAATTGATGTGATTTCTCGTTCGGTTGTACCTCTTCTATGCAACGCTCATACCCTGCTTTTAAGGGTTGGGAATCCGGCAAGATTCGACGGGCGTTCTAGCAGATAGCGCCGCAGGACGGCTACGCTACATGTCCTTAATAATGGGAACTGCGTGTCCCGGACTTGCATCGATATGATGGTCTGCTGCTTTACCATGCAGCCATTTTTCGACCTCCTATTTTTATCCGAGGAATCCTTTAAGCATTCGTCGCGCACGCGACACATTTTCGAGCGTATTATGCTGTCATATTCACATCAGGGGCTTAGAATAAAATGATATTACCTTTTCCAGATGTTACATCGATTCCCCACTTCGATCATCTGTTGCAGGTGGCGACAATAATTCTCCTGGTCGCCGGTGCAGCACCTCTTCATGCTGTTTCGGTGGCGGCGGTGGTAATGAGTGTTGCCGTCCTCCACCTCCTCCTCCTGTACTGCCCGGCTCATGTTGCCCTCCTGGCCCAGGATATCGGGGCACTGGAGGCGGCGGCGGTGGACCCGGCGTGATAAAGTTAGTTCGTATTTGTTAAATGCAAATCAGATTTTGTTTGGTAACTAAATATCCATTTCTTCCACCATGGAGACGCAACTATTGATAATGATAGAGAGATGATGATAATGATGATAAAGATGATAATGACAAAAAGTACGTGTCTAGGTAAATTTTTTGAACGGAGCGTCATCAATGCGATGAGGCTTTAGGCTACCAAATCGATATACCTATCGGCTTTCTTATCCGCTAGTTCGTAATCGACGTTTTTGTTAGGGTGTGCGAGGTAGCTCGTCCGTAAGTTTACATGTAGTCGCCACCAGATCACTTTGTAAGGCCCTAGCACCGTTGACATACACTTTCGAGCCGCGACAGCGGTGCTTAGGTGCTTCCTTCTCCCCTGATGAGTCGGGGTGGTCCCGAATCGCTGTTGATTGCTTTCAAAATACTGTAAGGGACCTCTATGCCACGACTAAGGCCTTGTTTAAATGTTTGTTTGAGGTGAAGCAGAATACTTGAAAGAGCTCAGAAGGTGAATTTGTGGGCTGCAGTTCTAGCAGCAGTACCCAAAAAGTGCGCAGAACTCATATTCATTTTTTTTTAATTTTCACTTCACATTGTAATGGAATTCAACATTGTTATGAATTTGACCAAGTAGCAGCATGGTAGCAGCTGTCAAGTGAAAATAGCTGTCTTTAAGAAGTTTCTTTGAGCTTTGTTTTCAGGGCCTACATCGTTCCGTCTGCCGGTGCCGGTGGTGCTTTTGGAGCTCCACCAATGCCACCTCCACCCCCACCACCACCACCACCATGCCCTCCTCCACCGCCACCACTGCCGCCACCATCCAGAGCACCTCCGCCTCCTCCCCCTCCGCCGGGACCACCACTACCACCGCCTCCACCGCCGCCTGGAGGACCGCCGCCTGGAGGACCGCCGCCTGGAGGACCGCCGTTTGGAGGACCGCCTCCAGGAGCGGAATTTCCTTACCCCCGGTCAGGCATGCCCTACGGTGCTGCTCCAAGAATGGGACCTTTCGGTGGTGGCCCTGGCTCCTATGCCGGTGGTGGTGGTGGCGGCATGCAATATGCTTCTGGTGGTGGTGGACCATCATATATGGGGCCGCCACAAGCAGGTCCACCCATGGGAGGTGGAGCAGGTTATGTGGAACCACAAGCCGCTGGGCCTCCTCCTGGAGGTGCCTACATGGGACCTCAACCTGCGGGTCCTTCTGCAGGCGGTGAATATGCCGGCCCTCAAAGTGCAGGCCCTCCCCCTGGAGGTGCCTACATGGGACCTCAACCTGCGGGTCCTTCTGCAGGCGGTGAATATGCCGGCCCTCAAAGTGCAGGCCCTCCCCCTGGAGGTGCTTACATGGGACCGCCGCCACAAGTTGCTGCTCCTGCACCTGGAGGTACCTATACGGCACCTCAAGGTCCTGGTCCGATGCCGTCGGCTGGAGGAGCGTACATGGGACCACAAGGTCCTCCCCCTTCTGCTGGGGCTACCTATGTGGGGCCAGTTTCCGGTCCCGTTACGGAGAGTGCATTTGAGGCTGAAGAAGCTGCTGAAGTCTCTAGCACTACAGCTGAAAGTGAGCTCGTCAAAGCTGGCCCGTCGCAGGCTGGAGGCAGCTACAGCCAACCTTCATCTGCAGCTGAAGAGGTGAGTTTTTCAGCTTAAATAGGAAATGCTCTGTCCGCTAACCGTGAGATATCATTAAGACGGAGGTGGCCGAGAAAGTAGCTCCAACGAGTAGCGAGGCTCCAGCAGCTGAAGAGGAGACGGAAGCTGAAGAGGTACAGTTTGTCTATTTTGGAGTCAAACATTTTAAGCCAGTGCTCGGAATTATAACCTTATTTCCAGCAAGAAGCCGAGACAGAACCTTCCTCCGCAGATGGTAGTGTTGCCTACGACCAGGTACTGATTTATGGACACTGGTTCTATCATATAATTCAAGGCGGAACTCCTTCGGGAGGGGGCACTACCTGTTATCTTATCCGTCTGTACTAGAGAGCACTCCCTACTATCTTAACCCTATGGATAAGATAATAGGTAAACGACTCATTTCAAGTGCACTTTTGATAAGGACCGGTGTATGCCCTACATTACGCACATCCTGCTCACATCCTAGGCAATTTATGGTATGTGATCGTCCACCCTGGGCTCCTACACCCTTGCCCCAGTTCATAAGGAT